GCGCTTAATACACTTGTTCAGAGGCAGAACGACACTTGTGCCGTTTTCTAAACAGTAACGGCAGTTGTGTCGTTTTCGTCTTTCTTTTTTATTAACTAATGACCATATCTTTTTTATTTGTTTCCAACATAATAACCTCGAGCAATGGACACGTGATAAAGTAATGGACTCTTATAAGTTAATAACGACACTTGTGCTGTTCTCAAGAGCATTTTTATCTCAGTAACGACACTTGTGTCATTCTCATGGACGTTTATAAGTCTAGTAACATCATTTATGTCGTTCTCATGGAAGCTTATAAGTCATGTAACGGCACCTTATATCGTTCTCATATAAACATTTAACTTACATAATCTAACTTGAAGAATATTTGTAATTTTATTTTCTTTAACAAAAATAAAAAACAATCCATTTTTCTTACACTTCTAGGTCGTGACTGCTTATACTCATGTTTATAGACAAAACGGCACAAGTGTCGTTTAACGGCACTTGTACCATTCTGTTGATTTCTCCAAAATTTTACTACTTTTCCAGCAAAACGAACTCAAGCATTGGATCCCCTAAGTTAAGAAGGTCGAAAATGTTAATTATGTGACAACTAACGGAAGAATTAATATAGAATATATGGTATCAAACGGTGAAATTACAAGTCTTGATTTAAATTCGTTTGAAAGTATAAATATTACGGTGTCATTTCTATATTTTTTGTTACATGGTCAACCTTTATATTTTACATACGTTATGGGGTCCATTATTGGATGTCTTTAAATTAAAAAAATCAAAATGTAGGAAAAATTAACAGAACGGCGCAAGTGTCGTTACTGAGACGAAAACTACCCTTGTACCATTATGTTTGTAAACACGAGTATAACCAGTTGCGTCTTATCCGTGCCCTGAGAACCAATAAGTGGAACTCATTTACGTTATTTATGACATTGTCAAACTTTCTATGTTATATAGTTAGGGAATCCATTATAAGATGTTTTGTTAAAAAAAAAAACAAAATATAGGTGAAAATTTCGGAACAACACAAATGTCGTTACTGGTCATGAAAACGACACTTATGCTGTTACGTGTATAGACACTAGTATAAGCAACCAAGACCCATTCGTACCCTAAGAAATAATAAGTAGAACTTATTTATGTTGTAATATGTGCATAACACGTACATAAGTTGAGAGATATGTTATTAACTAAATCGACAAATGATTATGACGACTTGTGCTTTCACCATCTCAATAATATAAAAGCTATATCATTTCAATCGTTTTTTTGTGACATTCAATCTTTATGTGTTATATATGTTAGTGAGTCCATTATTAGAAGTTAGTTTGTTGAAAAAATCAAACCACAATAGATAACGACTGTAGTGCCGTTTTACATAGTGGATAACGACTGGAGCGGTGTTCTAGATTTCAGATAGCAATTGGAGTATCATTATCATCCAATAGTTGCAGAAAACACAAAAAACACACTAAATACGAAAACAACACCAACTAAATATTATTTAATTTTATATTCAATAATAAAAGTACAAACTACATAAAATTTCTAAAATTGTCATTCTTCTTCCTTCAAATGTAAAGTTCTTTTCAATGTAGATGATATGCTAATTAAACTCTTGTTCAAATGCTTAAAAGATGCCCCAAAATAAATGAAAAATATAATAAAGAACATGATTTTTGGGTAGCAAGAACGATGACCGAAAATTTAAGAAGATAAAAAGGGGAAGAAGATGGAGGAGAAATGACGGGAAGAATTGAGGAAAATTGAGGGTTTTTGAGTTGATAATTGAAGGAGAATTTTGTCAAGAAGAAAACTTTAATTTCAAAAATGGAGAATAAGGTTTTACAAAGAAGTTGAAGTACAAATGACGATATGAAGTGAGGGAATTGAGTTAATAATTGAAGGAGAATTTTGTCATTTTGTCAACTAAAATATTTTGCTTTATTTTTTTGTTTTTATTATTGGTCAAAGGACATTTCATCAAATACATTGTCCAACTAGGCTAAATGGCCAAATTCCCCAAATTTATTCGCCGATAATAGACTGTCAGCAAAAAATGTTGGGAAACAGTGGTTTTTGATTGTAACAAACAAAAGGGAAAATTTTTGCCCAGAAAGGAACAAAAAAGGGGTAATAAAATCAAATCATCCCAGATCAAGAAAGCGTGATTGATCCTCTACATTTCACCACATAAATAAGTTCCTGCAATAATCATATTCTAATAAAGCAGCATCCATTTCAATTTATGAATCCATAACAACCCTCAAACAACCTAACCATTTTCACTTATGAATAATCAGACGCCATCCAATAATTTATAACCTACTAATAATAATACCTGAGCTATGCTGATGATGCGATTGCGAAATTTTGGGTGTAGCCCAGCTTCTTTCTTGAGCCTAGCAGCAATGGGTTTGCTCAGAGTCTTCAATGCTAGCGTCCCAAGCTTCAATAAAGGGAGGACCATTACTGATCACTCTTTTTCCCTTTCTTTCTTGTTCTCGGTGTTATTTTGCAATTCAAAATAGAAGTGCGAATTAAATTTATATGAGTTTGGGCGAGAAAGAAACGAGAGGTTTGACCAGTTGAGAGGCGTTGTATTTCTTGAAGAAGAAGGTAGATGCGTGCAGCCAAGGTCAAGATTTGAGGAATGAAAATAACTAGTATTTATAGAATCGACTTTTTCAGGAAGATGGGGGGAGTTAATTGTTTCAATTATCACCCAATTTATGCTATTATCTCGATTTACTCACTCCACCTCGAAGCACTTCGCATTGCTGATTGAGCGTTGTTCGTTTGCACTCCATCCATCACCCTTAAAAATTCGTTGGGCTAACGAAAATTTGACGTAACAAGTTACGATCGTTAAAAAATTACAACTCAACAAAATCATTATTTTATTACTCATCCAACTTACACTTGGTCACATTTAATTCATCGAACTTCAAAATATTTCACAATGATCACTCATCTTTGAGATGTTACACTACATTCATCATCCGTCATACTTTGTTCACTTTGTTGCTAATTTATCGTACGAAAATTTCACGGGTAAGTTACAATCGTTAAAAAAATTACAATTTAGCCAAACCATCAACTCATAAAAATTACCATATGTGAAACTCGACTTCCGCACTTCTTTAAAATTCAATAAAGCATCCCCAATTTCAGCCTTAAAAACTCTAGTGATAAATACATTTTACACACTTATTTAAGCTTTTAAATTAGAGTAGTTGTTGAAAATCTTAATAAATTATGGCTTATGCTACGTATATTGCGATTCTTAGGTAAAGATCGATGAAATTGATAAAATTGGAGACAATGAACGAGAAAAGGGTAAAATTGCAAGAAATCTAAAGTTCGAGGATCAAAGTTCAAATATCCAATAGTTGGTTTAAAATATAAAACGATGATTAGAGGTCACGTGTGATCAATGATTCAATTCAATACAATTAGAAGTCAAATGGGTGAAACATAAACAAAGTATTTTCAAAAATCAATTTTTAGCAAAACAAGTTATGCTTCAAATTTTCAGTTTCATGATTGAAACTTATTTTTTGCACAATAAACATTTGATTTAGAAAAATGGATAATTGCAACAGAGGTCCCAAACCTTTCAAATAGTTGCGGACTTTCCCCCGACATTTAATTCGTTGCAACAGTCGCCCCCAACCTTTTGAAACGTTACAGCCGAAGCCCTGATGGACATATTCATCCAAATGTCTGTAAGTTGACCAAGAAATTAAGTTTGATCACATTTTTTATATTTTTTTGTAAATGGCATAATGATAATTTTCGATTTACTACATTAAAATAAGTTAAAACTAAATTAGAGAACAAAAAAAAAAGATCAAAAAAACTGTAGATCTTCTTCTCGCACTTCCTCTCTCCTCTACATCATTTCATCTGGTAATTGACATCATCATATCCTCACAATAGATAATTTGGGATGGCGCCTACAATTCTCAATTCCAATTATTAGACAGGGATTTCAAGGATAATATAGCAATATAAAATAATCTGCTTTGATTATCTGTGGAGCACCCCAGTCACCGCACTTTACTTACCTTATTGCAATGTCCCAACAGCCTCCTGTGTCTGGTTTTTCTGCACTTCCATGGCGACCAATAAAGAAAAGATACCTACAGTATAATTGCAAGAATAAATATGCACAACCCAACAAAAAGCTTTAGTAGCAGAGGAAGTTACTGTTTGCTCAAAAATATAATTTTCTTTTCGTAACAATTATAACATGTAAATTATTTTGTACCACAAGTGGGCAGGGACGGACCCACATGGGGTTATGTGAGGTCGCGGTCAAATGACTCCACAAATAATTCGAGTTTTTTTTTTTTTTTTGTAGTCAGAACTAGTGAGAGAAAGAGTGCATGGAAAGAAATAGTCCATTATGTGAGAATATTATATTATTTAATCAATTAAGTGGTGTGTGTAAAAATTATATAAATTCAAATTTTGTTCAACAATTTGGTTTTATAAACTACGTCATTTGTCTTAATATTGTTTTATATGTTTACCATCATTAAATTTATGGTCGAACTTTATTTGAGATTGAACATTTCATTTTGCTTATTGGTTTATTGAGTTTTAAGCTTATAGATTAGTTTGTTAAGAAAAATATGAATACGTATTGCATACTTTTATTTAATGACCTAAATTTAATGGACGTTGCAAGCCCCCAAAAACTCTGACCTCGATTAAATTTCATCTACACTGAACAATATTTCTGGCTCCACCCCTAAATATTTGCATATGTTGTCGCAATTTGTTATTTTCTTGTAACATTCATTGGATATCACACATTTGAGATTATCGTTGATGACAATATTCTTCTTTCACTTGAAAAATCCAACCGACTTGTTGCAATGACTAACATGAACTATTGTTGTTCATATATTGGAAATTATCAGGTAAATCTT